CGTACAGTAAAGTACGTACATGGTACGTACTTTACGTCCCATCAGTACGTACATAGTACGTCTTATGTACGTATGTGTGTTTGCTGGGTATACATATTGTAACTTTATTATTGTCAGTAGCTTTGTAAATATTATTGGTCAAATACACCATTGCATCATCTATCGAGATCCCGTGCCAAAAACCATTAATTTAAGATTTTTTGAAGTGATGTTGTCATCTCCAGGTAGAAGAGAAATAGTCTTTAAAATAATCAGCCATTCCATATAAAAGATTTCTACTCATTAGGAAAATTACCTGAGAGCCCCCTTAAAGTAGAATTATTAACAAACCATAAAAAAAGATTAATTTTACAAAATACGAAAAAACTTAAAAACACCGGATGGATTATCGCGAATGATTTAACTGAATTACAAAGAAACAATATTAAATATCTTCGTGAGCGAATGAACTGTTATAGAGAAACTAATTCAGAAAAGTGCTATATCAGGGGCGAGAAACTTTTTATTGGAAATAAAGGATATTCTGTTGATGAGTTGGAGGATTTCGAAACTACAGCAAATACAACTTCTCATAGTGCGCCAGCGACCCCCACTCCTGAAAACCTTCCTGATGCTAGCGTCACACGAGAATTGGATAAAGTTCAAGAAAACGATTCATATAAAAATCCAAACTTAGCACAAGGACCTGGATCTAAAAATAATAAAAAAATCCAACAATTACCCAAAACGAATCTAAAAGTTTTGTCAAACATTAAAGGATCACCTACAACCAAAAATACTACATCCAAACCAGTCGATATCAGGGAGAAACTAAGAAACAGAAACGGATCTACCAACAAGTAAATCTTAATTCTTTTAATTATTTTCGCACATACCTTCCGTACTATTAAAATTCTCTTTTAAATTTTATTTCTTACTTGCTATCTTATCGTGTTAATTGTATGTATTTTTAGTATAAGAACATTTTAAAATACTATTATTATTGTATATATTTGAAAGGTAAAATTTTATTGAAATTGTTCTTCTATCGAAATTAATTAAATTTTATATAGGTACCTATACTGTTTTAACCATTTTAAATCTTTTCAATTTTTATTTTCAATTGTAAATAAATTTTTTAATAAAACATTATATTATGGATCCCTTTATGAGGGACTATAACTATACGAAATTTCCAACTACTGTATTACGAACTGCTGAAGACTTTAATAATAAGGATCACAATAGAACGGGTTTTAGCGTTTTACATCAAAATATAAGAAGTTTAAATTGTAATATGGATCATTTTGAAGCATACCTACAATTATTTAAACAATCTTTCGATATTTTGATTTTAACTGAAACTTGGAACAAATTTGATATAAACTTGTATGCTAAAGAAGGTTACAATATGATTTACAATAATGCTGATTTTAATAAATCGGATGGCACTATTGTCTATTTAAAAGAATCTATTATGTACAATTTTGAAATAAAACAAATTGATCAGAGTACGGTAATAGTTATTGAAGTTATCAATGATAAGTATAAAATGCTACTCTTATGCATTTATAGATCTCCATCCACAAATGAAGAAAATTTTGTTAGGAAACTGTACGACTTTTTAGAAACATCAAACGATAATTACGACTTAAATATCATTATAGGCGATATAAACATTAATATTTTTTCACAAGACAGAGTAACAACGGAATACTTAAATATGTTGAGTGAATATGGTTTTACTTCAACGATAAATAAATATACAAGGGTGCCATCCAAAACATGTATAGATCATGCATTTGTAAAGGTCAAAAATTGAAATTTAGAAGAAATCTGTGAAGCTTACGTTTTAGACAGTAATATCAATGACCATCGCAGTTGTATACTAAAGTTTTTGATGCCATTAACTTCAAACACGGAAACAAAAAATGATAATTATAGAGATGTGATTAATTACAAAAATTTAAAAAATAATTTAATACATTTTAATTGGGCCGGATTGTATTGTATAACTGAAGTTCAACAAGCATGGGATTATTTTCTTACTCATATAACAGATCTCCTAAAAACACATACAACTCGATTAAAGATAAACAAAAAAACAAATAAGAAAAAAAATTGGATTACTTCGGGAATAATAACTTCAATCCTACATAGAGATAAACTCTACAAAACCTATCAAAAAAATAAAGATGAACAATCAAAACAAACATTTATTAATTATAGAAATAAATTAGGTACAATAATTAAAAAATCAAAAATAGAATTTCACAAAAAAATGATAAAAGATAATAAAGATAATCCCAGTAATTTATGGAAAACTATAAACAAAATATGTGGCAAAAACCCCAAAAAACAAGAATTTAAAGCGTTATATAATCAAAATAATGAAAAAACCAGTGATAAATTTGAAATAGCAGAAATATTTAATACGTTTTTTTCCAATGTAGGAGAATTAATTTAGCTAGTCAAATAATCTTGCCAAATACGCTTCGTCCAATGAGATTTGTATGTTCAAATTCAATATTCTTGAATCCTTCAAATGAAAAGGAAATATTAGAAATAATTAAAAAATTAAAAAATAAAAAAGCACCAGGTATTGACGACCTAACCGCAGAAACAATTAAACAAATTGATTCGGAAATAGTATCCCCGCTAACTTACTTAATTAACCTATCTATCGAAAAAGGCATTTGTCCAAATCAATTTAAAATTGCAACAATTAAACCGTTACATAAAAACGGTGACAAATGCACACCATCAAATTATAGACCCATATCGATAACTACGACCTTTACAAAAATATTTGAAAAAATAATTAAGTCACGATTAGAATCATTTTTTGATAAAAACAATACAATTTCACCGAAACAATTTGGATTTCAAAAAAGTAAATCTACGGAGGATGCTATTGCCGAACTTACGAAAGAAATGTATTTAGCTCTGGATAAAAGTAAACCATCTCTGGCAGTGTTTCTGGATCTTGCAAAGGCTTTCGACACTGTTGATCACCAACAGTTATTGGAAGCCCTGCAAGATGCAGGAATAAGAGGCAATGCTTACAATTTGTTTAAAAGTTATTTGTTTAATAGACAACAAAGTGTAAGAATAGATAATACGAATAGCACTTACCAACAAATAAAATGCGGTGTACCACAAGGTACAGTACTTGGTCCTATTTTATTTAATTTATATATCAATAACTTGCTATTAATAAATCATCAGGGTCGGATAATTAGTTTGGCTGATGACACGGTTATTTTCTATTCTGCTGATAGTTGGGAAGAATTAAAAGTAATTGTTGAAAATGATTTAAAATACATATTCGATTGGTTTAATCATAAACTCTTAACAATTAATTTCTCTAAAACATTCTTTTTACCAATAGTTAGCTATGAAAATAATCTACCGGAATATAACAACTTAGTAATCATCAGCAATAATCAGGTGCCTTTAACTATAAGTTCATCAAATAAAACGAAATATTTAGGAATAATTATTGATAGTCATTTGCGTTGGAATCATAATATAAATAACATTGTAAATATACTAAGAACCCTATTATTTAAGTTTAAATATCTTTCCAAAATACTAGAATTACCTTACCTAAAAATGTTGTACTACGCTTTAGTTCATTCTAGAATAACATATGGAATATTAGGATGGGGTGGAGCCTCAAATGTGTATATGGACAAAGTCGAAGTAATACAAAAATATTTTTTAAAAATTATATTAAAAAAAGAACGCACTTACCCATCTGACCAATTATATAAAGAAGCAGAAATACTTGATCCTAAACAAAACTTTTTCTTTAAAATAGCAAACTATTATTTTAAAAATCAGAGTCTTCTTAAAAATGTAACACATAAATATGAAACAAGATCCAAGGAAATTAATAAATTAGAAGAATCAGCAGCCCGTAAAACAGTAGGACAAAAAAGCCATTTGTTTTTAGCACCCAAGGTTTTAAATTCACTACCCATAAAAATTAAAAATTCTCTGTCGATATCTCAGTTTAAGACAAGACTAAAAAAACATATACTCTCCATGAATAGAATAAAAATAATCGAATTAACGTATTAACCAGTAACTAAAAGTAGGTACCTACAAATAAAAAATTAATTTTTTTCTAAAGTATATTTTTTTATTTTTTTGTAATAACAATAAAAATAATTTTTATTATTCATTATTATCATCAATATTATTATTATTAAATATAATTTTTAAGGTTATTATTATTATTATTATTATTATTATTATTTATTATTATTATTTTATTATTGTTATTATCATCAATATTATTATTAAATATTGTTGCTGTCATTATGATTGTTATTATTATTGTATTTTTTAATAACATTAATCTCGATAATTTAATTATAAAATTATACTTTATAGTATCTTAACCACGGACAGTCTCTGACTTTGTGGACATTTACTGTTTGTTTGTATTTTATATGTATTTTTTCTTGATTATTGTGTGTACATTTTTACAAATAAACAAATTATTATTATTATTATTATTATTATTATTATATTTTTATACATTAATATTTTATTATCATTATTTTCATACATTTGTATTATACATGATTTCTTTAAAATAGACCGTAATGGAAAAATTTGAGGAAAAGTGTAAAGTTTTAATTTTTCAGTATTTTCGTTGGCTTTTGAATATATAAAAAATGTTCCGAGTAAGATATGTGGAAAATGTATATATTTAATTCATCCTCTAAACATTTGCACCGGAAAAAGCCTGTATTTGGATATGAAAATCATGTGTTGGACACATCAGATTTTTTATGTTAATATTGTAAGGATACTATAATTCTTGTTTTTATCATCTACAGATTTACCTACCTAAAGAAAATATTTATAATTAACCATATAAAACATGATTTCAAAAATTATAATTTAATAGCAATATGAACCCAAAAAGTTTCCTACAACGAAATAAATGAAATTAAAAAAAAAATCAGAGGAAGATTGACAGTGTATAATGTTACTAGGAAACCGTACCGTAATTGAATACAAACAAAGGGCATTTCAACATAAACATACGTTAGAAAACGAGGGGCATCTAATAAGCAGGTGTCAGTGTACCTACAATTATTAATTATTAAACATGGACTTCGATTTAGACGATCCTTTAGGAAGTGACGACAGTTTTTTTGAAGAACCTAAAGCTGTAGCTAAACGCTCCAGTCTAACGAAAAGCCCGGAAAAGAAAACATTAGATAGTTTACTCGGTTTTACCACAAAAAGTACAGAGAATATCCATAAATCGGAAGTGGAAGATACATTTGTTAAAACTAAATCGACAGTTACCTTTGAAGATCCAAAACCAGAAGGATCTAATGCCGGAAAATCCATGGATGATTGGCTTCCAGACAGCGTGAAACAAGACAGACATAAAAAGACTGATTTCTTAGAGGATATTTTGTCGATTAAACCCAAAGCTAAACAAGAGAGAAAGGGAACTTCCTTGGAAGATATATTGAAGGAAAGTAAAGCTAATGTTAGTGTCAAGTCGTCTTCTTTAAAAGATATTAATGCAACAGAAAGCCAATCTGATTTTAGGTAATATTTTGATTTATTTTTCCAAGGCTTTAATAGTCTTTAGAAGATAAAAGGTAATTAATGCTTTTTTGTATTTAGTTTTACAACATTGCCAGAGAGGAGGAGGGGTCGGAGAGGATCAGGAGTGGAGGATAATTTAGGGTTTGGATTATTTAGTGATGAATACCAGGTTGGAGAGTTTTATAATAAGGAGAAGAAAGAACCGCCTCCAAAATCTGCCGAAACCATTACAAAATCAACTACAAGAGGTAAGCATAAATCGTGAGCTTACTGCAAAAAGTGACCAAGTCAAATTTTATGCGATTTGAGTTAATATGACCAAATCACTTGTTAAAGTTAGATAAACAAAAAAAAATCCCAAGTCATATTGACTGAGTTTATTTACTACTTTAAGGCAGTATAAATATGACTGTATTTTTTTTGTAAGCTCTTTCTTTAACAAGTGAATTGGTCATATTAATATTATAATAATAATAACATAAAATTTGACTTGCTCACTTTTCGCAGTAAGCCCACGAAATGTTTGTTTTAAAAAAAATAGAACAATAACACACAAAATTGACACACGCTTTATTAATAAGTTATTAAATTTAGACAATATTGTTACGTTACTGCATTTTTTTATCTCTATCTCTATACTTTATATATCTGTTATTATCATCCTATATCAGTCATAGGCAGGGTTGCCAGATCTTTGTAATGAAAAAGCGGGACACTGTCGTTTCAGCAAAAGGGCCACAAATTTTTTAGAGCCACGCATAATTTTGTTAGGAATTCAACCAAAACTTAAAAATGAGGACAAAAAACAAAATATTCTTTATTAGAATAACAAAATAAACGCTTTACAATAAAACAACAGAAGGCATTATTTATACCCTATATATACAGGGTGTTACTTAATGATAGGCCGTAATTCCAAGGGCGCATACTTGAACCAAAAGTTTAACGATCGAAGTTAACTTGATCTTATTGTTAATTTTAATAAAAGTGGTTTTTATTTTTTCCTCAAAAACGAAGTAAGATAAAAAAAGTTATATTTTTAGCTGCTTAATCTAAAAAGAAATACATAAAAGTTGAAAAGTCAGTGGCGTACATTTTTTTGTAAATATTTTTCATAAGACTGCTCCTCATATAGCGACGCCACTGAAACTCATAATTATCTTCTAGTCAGTGTACACTTAGGTTCTTATCAGCGTTTATTTTTTATTTTTGAAGATCCTGCTTCATTTTTCTGAAAAGTACAACAATACTTTTAATTTTTTGTTAACAAAAAAAAATTAGATCTACAAGGCAAGTATAATATTACCTATTGCAGTTAAAAATTTAGTTAAGTGGGATGTTTAAAATAATTAAACCTTACCGAATTTTCGTGTATGTCCACAAACACCAACAGTGACGGCGCACTTTCCTCTTCATTTTCATTTAAACAATCCACTATATCTTCGTAGACTCCACAGTTTTGAGCTCCTAAAAGCCCTAACCAGTCTATTTCGTCAGAAATAATGGAAGAATCCGATCCTGAAGCCACTTTAGCTTTACAAACAATTATCGTAAAATTAGCGTTATTATTGTAAAATTGTTTTATTGTACTTGCCAAAACCTTCTCCCTTCTAACGGTTAAATGCAACGGGATAGAATCTGACTCGCACAGGTACAATGGTAAAATACAGAAATTTCCACGCGGTAATTCACCGAACAAAATGACCTAGACCACGAAACAACATCAAATGTTTGACCTACAATGCTTGAGAGGCCGGAAAAGAGTGGCAAATAATACGGCCGGAAAAGTGTTGCATTTTCTGCGACTTCTGCGAGAGTGGAAAAGGCGGGAAAACCGGGACAATTTACGTGGAAAGCGGGACTTGGAATTATTAAAAAAAAGGCGGGACAGATTAGCAAAAAGCAGGACTATCCCTCCTATGGCGGGACGTCTGGCAACCCTGGTCATAGGTATATATCAGTCTCTACTCTTTAAACAATGATATCAGAGATAACCAGTTATCTCTGGTATATATACAACCGCTTTCTCGCCCAAGTCGCAAACTTGCAAGAATCAACTTGCAAGTAAAACAATCCAGCCACCGTTCAGTAACTTTTCAAGTTTATTGACAATAACCTTTCTATTTCACAACAATGTGTAATTTTTTGGAGATGTTTCAATCGGACAAAACCTGCATTTAAATTAATACCGCCTTGGTAAGTTTTTAACTGTAATAATAATTAATATAACTACAAACAATATGAATAGTTTTTAGAGGCCAATTAATTTGAAAAATGTGCTCTTTGTTGATATTGTTGGTATCTATAAAACGAATCACCAAACACGTGTATTTCAAAAATCGAATTTGGATAATAATACATTTGAAAAAAATTCGAAGAAAAAATGAATCCACTACCGGAGTTCTGCAAAACTGACCCAATGTTGGGCTACATCTGCCAAAATTATCCAAGGCTCGTCTTGTTACTACTTTTGGTGATTTTCTTGATAATTGCTGTTGCATGGTGTATGGCGAAAGCATCGAGAAGTAATAGAGATGTTGATTATAGCGAACAATACAGTTTCATCAGAAGGACATCTACTTCCCCATTAATGCAGACAGTGTAACAAAATTTTAAATAGTCCAATCATTACGTGTTTACTTTAGAGAAAAATTTCTAACGCCATTTTTTTTTGAGTTCAAATTCGAAATAGCGTCATCACAGCTGCGTGGTAACACGGAAAACACTCACGGCAAATTGAAAATTTACCAAATATTAGGCACGGTAAATCATGCGATTTTTCTACAATTTTTCGAAGTATTGATGTGATATTTTAGAGTTATATTGGTGTATCGTACAAAAATGTTTTTGACAGTGCCTGTTCTTAATGTCATGTTTTATGGTCCAACCCTGCTCTGCACAAGCTCTGCTTTAGGAGGTGAATTATAGGGAAAGAATTATCATAAAAAATTATAATCTCTTTCGAGGACAATCAAATTTCGCACATTTTTTTAGATAAAGCGTTTTTATGCCATTCTACACATTTTTAGAAAGTTTTTTTTTTGTTATTTAATACTTTAGCCTCTATTTAGTGCTTAACTTTTTATGTATTAATAAAAATATGGGTGACTTTTTTAAATGGAACATCTTTTATATTAGTTTAACATAAAGTTCCTTATAAATTTACCTATTCAACGCTAACAACGGGTTAGCCAATTATACATATACAGGGTGCCCCATCAGTATGTCCATCAGTGGGTATATATTAAATAGCTGTTTTATTATTGGAGATACGAAAAAAAATTTAATATAAAAGTTGTACGACAATATTTTATAATTATTCTTAAATATACAGGGTAGTCCATAAATGAGAGGCGAACCAAACTTATACTTTTTTAGACTAAACAATTTAGATAACAAATTTGGTTGTTTTCATATCGTTAAATAATAGGTCGCACCTTAGAAGTACACTAATGCGGTCGCTGCTGGTCACCTGAACCCACTTTTAAAAATTTCCAAAATTTTGATTTGTTGATCAAATTGTATTTTTTTTTTTTAGTTTATGTCTTTAACCATATTTAAAGAATAGAAACACATATTTTATATTTTTAAAATATTTATATTAACAAATCAGTACCATTACAAAAATAATATAAAACGGATTTTATTACATCACCTAATACTCTCTAGTTTTTTGGTAATAAACTTGAAAAAAAAAAGAAAAATCTATTACAGTGCTTTCTTAGAAGGTTAAAATTATATTTACAATATTTTTTATGCATGCTTATAGGGAAGATTTTTGTTTTTATTTATATACAAAATAGTCCAAAAATAAGTGATATAATATAAAAATATTTGCACTGTTGTCTGTTTTTATTTACAAAATAGTTATTTATGGAAAACATATACATATACATGAGTCAAAAAAGAGAATTTTAATACGAGTTGCATACAATATTATTTCTACAATATATGGATAAAAAAAATACATTTACTTTGCGCCTTATTATGTAAAGAATTTTACTTTGAGCACTGGGGCTTGAAAAAAAATTGACAATAAACTTGATATACATTTTGACATTTAAAATACTAAAATGTGTTTTTACATTGCACATTAGGACGTAGTTTTATTGTACGCACTAGAACAGCGAACATAAAATAACAATTTACTTACGATTGTACAAAAATGGAATATCATACATTTCCAAGGCAATTGCGACATACCAAGGTTCCGTGATTTCCACATATGTACATTTGGCATTTTGGACATACATGGTGAGTCTTATTACCAGTTCTTGGGCATAGCCCACATCTCTTCCTTTTCCTTGGACCTGCTTCTATAGTATTATCTTCTGGGACCGGTGCTTCATTTTTTTGAAGAATTTGAAGAATGTTCAATCGTACAAGCTTCGGAAGATTCATAATTTGTAATCGAGATCTCATAAAAGGAGAAATAAGTTCTTTGGCGAGCTCTTTTAACCAGATTCGTCTTACTAACCTCTGATCTTCTGGGTTGTTACAACTAGACACCACGAAGGCATTAACACCAACTACATTTAGAAGGTTGAAAAATGCTGTAAGGGGCCATCGATTTGTTTTCCTAGCTGCGGAATATGTAGCACACATTTCATCGACGACATCTACTCCACCTTTGGAACTATTGTAAAATGTAATTATCTCTGGTTTTCGAGCATCTTCAGTGGTTTGGTCAATGGTCTTGCTATGGTGCATCGTCGACAATAGCACAACAACTTTACTTTTTTTTGGCACATACGATACTAATGTTGTATTCTTTTTACCAAAACCAAAAAAATGAGGAGTTTAGCTCCCTATCTTTGTTGCTTTTAAAGCATCCTGGAAGTTCAGTTTTATTTTTTCTGACGGTGCCAACACTCGTTAAATTGTGATTCTGCAGTAGCTGATGAGCTAGCGGTACACTGGTAAACCAGTTATCATAGGTTACGTTCTGCCCACTGCGACTTATTGGTGATATTTGTCTTTTGACAACCTCGGCAGGTTTTTGGTCTAACACAAACGGACCTTGTGGTTGTTTACCCAAATATACTTCCATATTTAGGGTATAAAAAAGGCGGACATCGACTAATGCAAAAACCTTAATTCCATACCTTGGTTTGCTTCTCATATACTGTCGAAAAGGACACCTTCTACGAAAAGCCCACAACATTTCATCGATAGTAGCATATTCAGATAATGAGTAGTTTTCTTGACATTTTACTACAATATACTCAAACACTTCTCTCAATGTCGC